CCATTCATTTGAACCATTGTGTGATGACGTAGTCAGTTGAAACACCCTCCACCAATGGAATGTGACAAACCTCCATGTGCAAAGACTCCCTCTACATCCATGCATTTGAACCATTGTGTGATGACGTAATCATGTTGAAACACCCTCCACCAATGGAATGTGACAAACCTCCATGTGCAATGACTCCCTCTACATTCATGCACTTGAACCATTGTGTGATGATGTAATCATGGTGCAACACCCTCCACCAATGGAATGTGACAAACCTCCATGTGCAATGACTCAAATGTTAGCCATGCTTGTGAATCCTCATTTGTTTCAATAAAGAAATGGGCAGTGGGAAAGTGAGGAGGATGGATGGATGGGGAACATGTGAAAAGGTGAGTATCTGTCAGAAATACATTTTCAGCTAAGGAAAATGTTAACTTCTGAAACGAATACTCACCTCCACACAGAGAACAGCTAGAATCCTAAGTTGAGATGATGGAGGGACTGGTGCAAAGATTACTTAAATGAGCTCCTTTCAGAAAACATCCAAAGGAAACCCATGGGGTGTGACACCTGATGGTAGGGGCTCCAAATTAAGAGTTTAATAACATAAAGGACTTTGCCATAGTGATGAATAAGTCACACAAGCCATCAAAGCAGTGCTGTATCACAAGGAGTAAAGGTAACAGAATTTTAGGATGTATTTATAGACATTGATTAGATGTCAAAAGAGATAATTATATCTTTAAACAAATCACTAGTTAGACCTCACCTGGAATACTGTGTGGTCTTATCTAAGAAAGGATATTTACTTACAGGAAAGAGTTTAGAGAAAGGTTACTGGGATGATTCAAGGGTTGGAAAAGTTATCTTATAGACACAGGTTAAGATCTTAATTTATTTTCTCTTGACGAAAAGAAGGATAAGAGGCGATTTTATTGAAGTTTACAAGAGGATCAGGGGAATTGATAAGATTGATGTCTTTCATTTCTTTATGCTATATTCTGAAGATAATATTATGAAAAAAACACAAGTTTAAGATTTGAAAAAAGACAAACAAGGCACCAACTATGATAGTTATATTTTTATAACAAGGTGATTAACTAATGGAGCGAGCTGCTGTAAGTTTAAAATAGGAACTGATGATCTTCTGAAAGGGTGAGTTTAAATTTTAACTGTTCTCAAGGGAGGGTGTGAAAGGACAGAATTGAAGGACCAAGTGGTCCTTTGTTGATCATAGTGAATGTAAAATGTATGAACCCCAGGCTAGGTTAATCAATGCTAAAAATTTTACTCTTTTTATTAAATTTTTAATTAACTATTACTAGAATTGATTTATTGTTATTATTATTGTTCTGAATTAGAATTAAGTAATAACTTCTACCGGAAAAGCTGCTAAAAATTCTACAATAATGATTACTATTAATTATAGTATTAGTTATCAGTAACAAAAGAACTTCTATGGATATTCATCCCTTGTTTATCGGTTGGATACCTTTGTTGCTAGTAGAGTTCATAGCCCTTAATCCAATTATTCAATATTGTTGCATTTAGAAATAGCGATTCCTTTCTAGCAGATAAAATACAAAAGTCATAATCATCAGCCTTATCACCCTCAAAATAAGATGGAGCTGCTCAGAGGAAACTTGGCCCAAAAGTTGTTGAAACCCTTAGTCAGATCCTTTCAAATTTATCTCACCCTAATAAAAGTTAGTACTAGTTATGGAGCTTTGCAACTCACTCAAATTATTTAAATCAAATACATCGTTATGTTAGCCATTCTAGACACCCTTCCCTTTCTTAAATAAAAGGCACAAGGATGAAATAAACCCCCTACAAAAATACCTCTTGGGCAATGTACGACTTTTTTTTTCCAATGTACCTGTCTTTGGTTGCCTAGGCTGCCTGGCTGGGGCACTTCCTGAGACAATAGCTTCTAGTTCTGCTTCAAGACTCTCATCGTCATCATCACTTCCTCCTTCATTCATGCCACTGATGTCATTAATATCAGGCATATCCAAGAGACCAAACTTTAAAAAAAAAAACACAAAGGGAAAATTTTTCATAAATAAAGTATAAAATCAAAATTACTGAATGATATTAGAAATACAAATATTAACTGAAATGATGTAAAACATATAAATTTCTGGCTGATGATCAACACCAATATTTGAAAAACATGCTCAATAATGATAATTCAGAAATCATTATCACCAAAGGAGAGAGAAAGAAGCAGGCCAGATGAATAATGAGTACTGGCCTTCAATTCATTTCACTAGAATTGATATCATGACAAGACTGTTAATTTTATTATTGTAGGGCATTGCACAATCTTGTAGAGATATTTTATGGTCTAAGTTAGGCTCATTCTAAGATCTCATTTCCTGTATAAGGTGATATCAGTGAAATGATCATTGTCTGTCGCTAGGCCTAAAGGTTTGAAACAGACTCGTTAGTACCTGGGAGTTTTTCCATGTTTGAAATGGTTATGTTCTGTACAATTATGTATAGCACAGGTATAGAGGTATTGTGGGTATTTTGGATAGAATCACTGATTTTGGAGGTGTTTGTATTTATATAGCAAGATACTGTCTACACTTATTTGATGTTACAAATTCTTTGTATTAAAGTTCACACTGTTTTAAAGGTCATTCTGGATATTATTCACCATTCTTATTGTATAATTCTATGGAATAATCCAAAGTAAACCTGTTTCTTATCATTGTTTGTACAAAGTTCTAGAAATTTATTAAATGTTGTTTGTCAGCCTATATGGAATGTTCTATAAGTTTCTAAACAGCATACAATAGATTTTTAGACATTTCTCTTAGATTGTGTGCTGTACGAAAATTTGTGGAAGTAATTTATGCAATGTTTACCAGAAGAAATTTCTAGATATTTCTTAGTTAGGCCTATTATATGTAATATATATAATGATGTGTGTATCATCAGTCTGTCAGTGAATGTGGGATCAGTAGCATGGTAATGGTAGTGAAGTTGTGTAATAGTCAGTTTAGCTAATGTCTTCAGTAGTATCACTGTGAACAGTAAGTTGGACTATAGTATTGAATGGCCCCACACTTGGTATTGTTGGTGTAAAAATATATAGCAAATAAAAAGGGAAAAAAAGGTCTCATAGATTATTTTACTCTAATCCTGCCTAAAAGAATTTAAAGTGTCAAGGCTATTGAGGATTCCCTCTTATTTCAACCAACCACTCATAGGTATATCATTCAAGCATCTAATAACTATAAACACCTGAATTAAGCATTCTTTAGTTATGTTATAAATCTACTGATGATATTAAGGTCTTGAGCACTGCTGGCTGTGATGAGGATGCTGCTGCTTTATAAAAGGATGTCAACTATTTGTTAAGTTGGACAAATAAACAACAGGTGGCTTTTATACAACAAATGCAGGGTAATGCATATGGGTTACCATACTTTAAACTATGGGAATAACCTCAACAATGTTATGGAAAAGGATCTTGGTGTTCTGATTGATCAGTCTCTCAAGGTGTCCAAATAGTGTACTGTTGCCTATTTTAGGACAAATAGGATTATGAGTTGTATTTATAGAAATAATGAATTTAAGTCTTAAGAGGTTATAATGTTATGGCATAGCTCACTAGTTAGGACTCATTTGGAATATTGTGTTGAATTTTGGGCTCCTTACCTTGGGAAGGACATTGAATTGTTTGAAATAGTTGAGAGGAGGACTATTTACTAGGATGATACCTTGGATAAAAATGTTTCATATGAGAACAAGATCTCTAAAATTGTTTTCTCTTGAAGAAAGAAGAGTTTGATGGAATCTAATGAGATGTTTAATATTGTTAAGGGAGCTGATAGTGTTGATACATCACTTTTTGTATTTAATGATAATAATGGTACGACACGGAATACAAATATAAATTTTGGTAGGATAAGTTATCTTCATTTTAAGCAGTTTTGCTTTTATTATAAGTCAGTTGGCCTTTAGAAAGGGTTGCATTCAGATGTACTGGGTTCTGTAAATTTAAGGGTTATAAGTCGGTTGGCCTTTGGAATGGGTTGCCTTCAGATGTACTGGGTTCTGTAGATTTAAGGGTTATAAGTCGGTTGGCCTTTGGAATGGGTTCCGTAGATTTAAGGGTTATAAGTCGGTTGGCCTTTGGAATGGGTTGCCTTCAGATGTACTGGGTTCTGTAGATTTAAGGGTTATAAGTCGGTTGGCCTTTGGAATGGGTTCCGTAGATTTAAGGGTTATAAGTTGGTTGGCCTTTGGAATGGGTTGCCTTCAGATGTACTGGGTTCTGTAGATTTAAGGGTTATAAGTCGGTTGGCCTTTGGAATGGGTTCCGTAGATTTAAGGGTTATAAGTCGGTTGGCCTTTGGAATGGGTTGCCTTCAGATATACTGGGTTCTGTTTTAAGTGAGTTTAAGTTATTATTTTTTCCTTAGATAAGGAGATTAAAATTATGCAGATTATTTCAAGTGAGACTAACTAATGCTTTCTGTAGAAGTAACAACCTCTTTTGACTTGTATTCCATGCCTATATACACATTTAAAATTATATTAGCTTTACAACTATAAACAGATGGCTTAAGTAAATTATCTATCCCTATACCAAAATTCTTTTCATCAGTCGTGATATTAACAAGAAAAAATTTAAAGACAATATGGAACCTGTTGGTTCATCTAGACCACTTCATTCATTAACTAAACTGTAAAATAAAACACTCAAAGCCAGCTATTATCATTCAAGTATTTAACAAGCACTCTCTTAAACTCCCTTAAATTTACTTCATCTACTACATCTGAAGTCAATCCATTCCAGAGGCCAAACACTCTGTTGAAAAAGTAAATGTCCTAGCTTAAGGTGACTTCCATCCTGACAAAATTTATATTTGTGTCCTCTACTACTATCATTCTAACCAAAAAATAATGATAAAGATGATGAGTCATACTATGAATTTCCTGAACAATATTAAACACCTCAATCAGATCCCCTGTATAAATCCTTCTTTTAAGAGAATACAATATGATAACATAGCTTGTTCTCATACGACAACTTTTACATCATGGGAATCATCCTATTAGACCTCCTCTGAGCCCTTTCCAACAATTTAACATCCTACCTAAGGTGAGGAACTCAAGGTAGAACACAGTAATTCATATGTTGCCTAACCAATGACCTATACAATGAAATTATAACCTCTTTGAATTTGTATTCAATATTTCTGTAAATACAACCAAAAATCATATTTGCCTTCCACCAGCAACAGCAAACTGCTTGGATGACGTAAGACTGATCAACTGTTACACCAAGACCCTATTATGTAAACTCTCCTCTGTTTCATAATCCAAATTATGATAAATTAAATTTGCTATCTTGCACTTAATATAATTACTGATCATTGGGCAACTATCTGTTTAACTAGAATTGATTCAAGTCAATTTTGAGTACCTCAACACCCTCAATACAATTCAAGATACCAAAGAAATGAGTGTAATTAGCAAACTTTAATAACCTATTAATTATACCCTATCATACTATCAATGTCATCAACATAAATAACAAAAAGCAAAGGACCAAGCACTGGCACCTGAGGCGCATCATTAGTACTACTAGTAGGAGGAGGCATCCAATTTTTGACTGAGCTCTATCATTGACCACTTTTTGCTCTCTCTCATCCAACCATTCTATTGTACAATAATAATTTACTAATCTTTCTTCGCCAACCACCAATGTGATTTTCTTAGGTTTATGTAAATCCAAGTACATCAAGATCCCACCCTTTCCATCATCCAAGTAAAACATAATATCTTTGATAAAAAGTTAACAACCAGAAACAAGATATTTTGAGACATAAATTCTGACTAAATTTTTAACAATAACAGTAAACAACACGATAACCCCGCCTTTTAAATTAAATTCGAATTTCCACAAACTCCATGGTTCACTCATTAACTAAGTGAATCACACAACTCACAAGCAACTGAATCATTTTCATGTATTCTCTCGTATTTAACTTTCATTTTCGTACCTGGGCTAAAGAAGACCGTCCTACAGGCCTGCGTTTCTGGTTTTCTTGTGGTTTCTTTTTTCCAAACATTTCATTAATTTTCTTGAATTATCGCGTATTTAAACTATTTATTATACTCCGATTTAAATATAAGTATTAGAATATTCTTAAGACGACCGTGACAGAAAAAAATTACTCCTCAAATAACAAATGCGCCCTCTGTAAGAAATATTTATTTACAGTTTTCAAGTGAAATCACAGCACTAACTAAATGTGAAAATTTATTTTGAACGGCTAGTTGAACATTTATGAAGCTTCCAGTTTTTGTTCTCTTTTTTGTATGTGTTTTAAAAATTAAGTTAAACTAAACAAATATTATATTTAACTTAGTGCGTGTGTTTTGCAAACGACACCAAATTGTTTTTACTCAAACATTATTTAGAAAATAAGTTTCCTTCGTAATCCACAATGCAATGAATAATATTGGTATGTACCACGCGAATCACTATAAACCTTAATTAAAATTTTTAGGTTTTGAGATCTTAAAAGTTTAATATTGATGATCTGTTAACATAATTGAAATATATGCATTTATTTGGCATATGAATGTACATGTGTGTGTGTGTGTGGCATTCAGAGTTAAAACTGTATTCAGTAGGTAAGTAAAATCTGAAATATATGATATTTCGAAAGAAATACTTTTGAAAAAGTAAATGAAACACTGAAAGCAAAGGAAAGGCTCAAAATTTCGCGCAAAATAAAGAAGTTATTTTTTTTATTCTCGCACACATTCCTCTCTCTCTTCTAATCTGGTTTTGCTTCATAGTAATTGTTAACGACTCTGTGATTTTTGGAATTGACTAGAGTTTGTTTGTTTTAACATGTTGTTACGTCTCTGTGTTCGTTTGTTAATTTTCCGTAAAAAATTTTCTTAAGAAACTTTAGCGATACAAGTCCTTTCTTAAATAAAACTAGTTTATTCTTTCTCAATACAACTTTGCAATACACTTAATTTCTACAGTCACGCTATAACAAACGCTATAATTCACAACGAACGACTCATGTGCTCGACTCAATGGCCAGTCTCTATCTCTGTCTGCAATTCAACTGCATTCCATTGTTGCCGTCACATCTGGGCGGTCTTATATACTAGATACCGCATATCTAGTAAACACTCGAGGCTTCAAGAAGGGCATGAATTTTCTAGAAGCTCATGACGTGTTACTAGCGTCACGTGACTTCCGCTATCGTAAGAATATTAACATAAAGTTTAGGAACAACAATGAACCTATTGGTACAACTCGGATGTCACATCATCTAAACTAAACTATTATAAAATTTAAAAAATCTTAAAGCTTTAAGAGCAAAGCCACATTAAGCTACCTGTTGTGTCCACCACAGATAATCGATCCCTGGATTTTAACGTTGTACGTACGTTAACTTACCGCTGTCCCATCGGGAAACATTGATATGAGAAAAACTGCGTTTAACAAAGAACATAATAAATTCTGGTTGCACTCAATGGAGCAGGAACCGGGAGAGCAGAATAAGCAATCGCTTTCACTGGATTTACTTAGTGGGAGTGTTAACGGTCATCCTCACTGGGAGTAGATCCTACAACAACATAAGTTCGATTTAGATATTTTGAATTTTATTCGTCAAAATAAAAAACAAAAACATATATATTGTATAGTGTAACTAGTTTGCCACTAGTTAATCAATAATAACACCCTTCATGTGTAATTTATATCTAATAATTTCAGGTTCGCACACCATTGGTTAAACTACGCTTTTAATTAGATCAGAGTTTCTTTGCAATATCCTGCCATCCTAGATTTTTACACCATTGATCATTCTTTTTACAGATTCAAGCAAAGATTAATTCCCATCTTATATCAACCTGTAAAAACTTCTTCACTTTTGGTATGACCCAAATGATGAATGATCACTGTGGTATACAGCCTTAGCCTAAGATGATGACTTAAGCAAATTCATAACCCCCTAAATCCTTACCAGAATAAATCTGATAAAATATGTATTAAGTTTCGTGAACGTTCGAGAATATGACGTGTTACTAGTGTCACGTCACCCCCTCTGTCGTAACAATATGTATTAAGTTTCTAGATATGGAATGGTAAAATTTGGTACACACTGAGTCCACATCTTAATGCTTTCCTAAGCACTAAGTTTACAAATTGAGTTTAAATGGCCAAATTAGATGTTTAACCAAAGTAATCTTGGTTTCTAAAATCATCTTTTGTGTCAACTCATAAAACGCCATGACTTTCGCAAAAAAAAGTGAAAATTTAATATGGCCAGTGAAAGGAAACATAATTAAAAATAAAATATGGTAAAAGTAATATGAGCTATATCAGGTTAAACAAAGGGGAAATGTAATAAAATTCAATCTCAAATTAAATTTTAAATATACTATAATTCAGAAAAAAATTATTCACTGGATAGCCTGGATGCGAAGGTCGTCGAATGTGTTTTTTGTTTAAAAGAGAACAATTTATTACGAATTATGATATGAGTAAAGCACTTTTCTATTGAAGAAGCGAACTCTGGGATTGGCTTGAATATTTCCTATCCTTGTTAATACGACAGTTGCCATCAGTCACTTGGATAACTCATGTGAATGAGAGAGAACTGTGTATAGCTATATTTATATAATAGCCAAATGTCTATCTATCTGTCACGCTCTGTATATCCTGAGCGATTAATCATAGAAAAAATTACATATCAAAATGCTCCTTTTCTAAAGTACATAACAAGAAAATTATTCACTTTTTGAAAATCCTAAAATTTCATATCACTATCAATCCGTCAGGGCCCCGGCATGGCCAGGTGGTTAGGACGCTCGACTCGCAATCTGCGGGTCGCATCCCCATCCCACCAAACATGCTCGCCCTTTCAGCCGTGGGAGCGTTATAATGTGATGGTCAATCCCACTATTCGTTGGTAAAAGAGTAGCCCAAGAGTTGGCGGTGGGTGGTGATGACTAGCTGCCTTCCCTCTAGTCTTACACTGCTAAATTAGGGACGGCTAGCGCAGATAGCCCTCGTGTAGCTTTGCGCGAAATTCCAAAAACAAACAAACTAGTATAATGAAGAATATTAACCTTCACTGTGACGTTGAACTTTCTCGAATGTTCTTTAAACCCCACTATAATTTAAGGTATAAGTCACTTATGGTATTTAATACGTTCTCCCCCCCCCCCGAGTCACCTCACAGAAGATTCGAAAATAGGGGCTGTAAAAATAAAACATTTCAGACCTACATCTTGTCTTCCCGAAATCAATACCTAGTAATTATTTCGTGCAACAGTAGAATGTCTTATCAGCTGGGACGAGAATCTACGAGAACTGTGTTAATAATCCACTGAAGACGTCTAAGCAGTGACGAAGTTGGGGAGATCTTTCATGGCTTCTCTATTCGTGATGAAACGTTTCGTTTGATTAAAGAGTGTGACACGGAACTTTGTCAGCCAAACCTGCTGTATCATGAATTGTGTTCTAACAACCTAGAATAATTCACACACTAATTTAATTTTGCTAGGCTAAGATTAGCATACCTTGGGTAACAATGGCCGAAAGAAGTAACACGACAGCTTCTAGGTATCCAAGCTTATCATTTGATTCTTTATTTCTATCTTCATCTTCTTGCAGAAAGGGATATCGGTGAAAACACTTTTCGATTATTATAAGATTGAAAGCATGAACAAGAACTGCCAGCCCTATTGCCAACCAGACCTAGAAAAATAACAAAAATCTGTTAAGTAATCCCTTAACCCAGATGGACGAGCTCTCTCTCTTGTAGATATGAGAGTTACTGCCAGGCCTATTGCCAACCAGACCTAGAAAAATAACAAAAATCTGTT